TAATATCATATATTTTAATCCGTAAGTTATTCATTAATTAAATAAAACGATCTTAAAATCATTAAAATAGTTAGTTTAATTTTATGCATGAAAGTAATATTTTATTAAATGCGTGCTATTTCAGAATGTTCTTAAAAGTTAAAAAATGAGCAATTCAATGTGCTATAAGCAACACTAAGCATTTCCAGAGAAGACAATTTTTATTTGTAAATTGTAATTATTATTTATCGTCTTCTGAATATCGAACAAAAGTATGCATCATTCTGAATTAGTAATTGTTGCTTCTGCCTTTTTTGTCGTTAAACACAATTAGCATTGGTAAAAATTCCATTTTTAGCTATTTTCAATAAATATATTTCGATTTTTTCAAAAAATAAAATAATTTGATTGCAAAAAAAGTTCAATTTTTCCTTTATCGCTCTATCTGTGACCTTAATAAATAATACTTTTTAATGTTTTTTTTTACAATAATAATAGTACGTGTCTTCCTAGTTCCATGAATCAGTACTATAAATATTAAAATAGCAATGATTATTTTTTTGTGTTTACTGCTATTAAATAAATTTTTCGACAACTCTACCGCAATTTTTGCTGCAAAGATTATTATGGAAATTAATAATGATAAACGATTACTATTATTCATCAGTAAATAATAACAAAATAATTATTGTTGACAGTAATAACACCGATAATAAAGCAACAGATGGCCCGATTAGAATGAACGGTAATTGTATATGATGACTTGAAATTATTATCTGTTCTTCTATACATGCCTATGTGCTCGCCACTTATCGCAATTTCAGACGTGTAATTTTCTACAAATAAAAGTACTACACATTTTTACACGTTTATAAATAGAACAACATGCATATATATCTTTATGGAAAATAATTTGCATAGAAGGAAAAGGCAGAGGCAATTTGGGATTGAAAGACGTGTTTGGCGGGATGACTACATGAAATAATGCATTCATAAATAATATAAATCAAAATAAGGGTATAATTACACGGTTTCTTACACTTTTTTTCACGCGGAGATCCATAACTATGTTTTACTTTAGATATACGTACCGTTACCTGATTGATCAATGATAGCTAATTTAAAAATACATATTTGCTTAAGCAAAGTATGCTTAACTTAGTTTATTATTTGAAGTGTTGATAGACTTCTTGCATAAAAAAATAGTTGCTGAGTAATTTTGTTATAATGACACTTTTTTACGCAAAAAATAACTTTTGTTTGCATTTATTGATAAAGTGCTATCACTTTAATTACATAATAAGCAATTAGAGTATATTTGTTTGTAAAATTCACTGCTTTTAAAGTTAGCAAAATACAAAATATCAGAATAAATTGTGAACAAATTATTGTTTAAGCAGTAAATATGCCTGACTGTTCTTGTAGACACTGTATTACAAATGCTTGCATTATAATGTAGTCAAGCATATATAATTGCGTCCTAAATATTTGCTTGTTATTTAGTCAGAAGTGACAAAAATCTATTCGAATCATTCTAACTTACTCAAAACTTTAAAACAATAAATAACGGTATTTTACAAAAGCAGATGAAATTCTTTTTTTTTTTTTTTGTAAACTTCATTTTTTACTTTGAAACTACGAGAGCTCCAGAATTATTGAAAGTTCAAAGGCTAAACTATAGTAAAATTAGTAAGTTTATTCTTAATTGGCTTCATAAATAGGCTTTTACAAATATTTATGGCAAAGAATACTCCATCTTAAATATATTCCACAAATAGACATAGGTCATTTAGTTCAACTTTAAATTTGTTCATATTTAATCATGATATGGTACACTAACTACTTTATACTAAATTTTTACAAGTTAACCAGAGATTCAGTACAGTAAAGTGATAGAAGTATTTGAAAATGTACAAAATGATATGAAATGTAATTCTAAGATTAAAAATATGTAAAGCAAAAATTAAGGTTTTCATATTTTTGAATTTTGCTTTTTAAAAGTATTAAGGAAGAAAAATGCGAATATAAAACTCTTATACATATCTAATAAGCATTAAATTACATTTTAGCATTTACTATTCGAAATTGCTAATAAATTATTTTGCATTTATCTGCATTTATTTTTTCGTCTTCAATCATTTCAATTAATTCTTGCATGAGCAAGCAGTGAACTGTTTATGAAAATGCATCCCTTAAGTGACAAATGCAAATTTTTTTAAATTTGCATAGTCAAAATAAGAAATATTATTGCTATATGACCTCTTTGATCTGAAATAATTGTTGGTATTAGTGTGTGTGTGTGTGTGTGTGTGTGTGTGTGTGTGTGTGTGTGTGTGTGTGCAATTTAATAAAAGGTAGAAACGGAGCAAAAGTAATTTTCTTCAATTTTTTTCACTTTAAAAGGAAAAAACTTATTGGATTGATTAACTTTTACACTTTTGCTTTTTAGTTCAATTATTTGCCAAAGTAAAAAACTGATTGCATCCTCCAAGTAGAGTAATTCGTATTTCGAACACTTAACTTGCGCACAATTTCGAATTTCATTGCTTACACAAAAATATTTTCACTCAATTAGTGCCAATTTTTTCCTTCCAAAATTGTTTCAATTATATTATTTTGAAAATAAACTCCAATTCTAACTCTCTCCAACGTTTTCATTTTCACTAGCAATCAGTTAGCAGTCAGTGCTAAAAATTATCCGATAAGCTTGTGATCTAAGAGTGAGTCAAAATCTTTTTTGAGCTATCAAAAATGTACACAAATGGAATGTAACCAGATAAATGTACATTCTAGCAGTTCACACTTAAAAATTGCAATATAATTTGGAGAAAATGAACTATTCTCTGAAAAAATACTAACTTACAACACTTAAAGTTCGTTGTTTTTACTCATTTCAATTTTAAATTCAAATTCTTACCTTTCTTTTTGACTTCATCCTGAAAAAATTCATAATTTAAGCGAAATTTGTATATTTGAGGTTATATTTATGTTCATACAAATGCTTGCACAAAATAAGTGAGGTTGAATAATAAAAGAAACAATTTGAATTGTTTGACATTTTTTGTGTGTAATTAATGTGCGCGTGTGGTCAATTGGCTTTTGCTTCGTTCTTTTTTAGCATGAATCAATCCTTGTCAAAACAACAAAATTCTGAATCACTAAGTGAATGAATCTTGTCAAACAATAAGATAAGATTCTGTCAAACACTGAGATTTCTTTTATTTCTGTTGCTACTGATGATAATATGACCTTTTTATGACTCTTCTTGCATCTGTGCTATGTTATTGTCGTCAAAAAAATAACATGTACTGTCATTGAAATGGAGTGGTGCGCAAGTTGCGATAAGAGATAGTTTGTCAACGAAAATTTCAACTTGACCCTAAATTACAACTTTTATTTACCCAACAATATATTCGCTTCAGTTCAGTTTATTTAGATGCAAAGTGGCTCCTAGCAAATAATACTTTTCCAATTCATTTGTGCTATACTTACTTACTTTTCCATTTTTTTTATTCTTTTGCACTGAATCTTCGCTTTAAAATTTAAATTTGCTCATGTTTTCAACAAACTAAACATTTCGCACAAATAAATACTAATTTTTATTACAGAATTTGCAGTTTAATTAGTACAAAAATAAAAAAAACTACTTCCATTCACTATTTCTCAAAAATTAATTAATTAATTAAATGAATAAATAAATTCTGATAATTTTTCATCAAAAATGATGACTTAAATACATCAAAAATATTAAAAAATACTCTTAAGAGTTTTGTCAAAATTTAGCCTCTTCATTTTATATTACAAAAATGTTCTGTCTTTTTAAATTTTTTAGACAATAGCTATTTTACATTTTTTAAATTATTCGTTTATAGATATTCTGTGATGTTTTAATTTTACTTTCACTCATGTAAAATGTTAAAATTATTCTATCAATTTCAGAAATGTCATAAAATAATAGTATTTCTAAAAGTTACATAATATGTCTAATTAGTAGACCATTTTAGTTTTATTCAACTTGACTACCAAAATTTGTATTAAAGTCATAGCTTAATTTACAAGTTTGGACTCATATCAAAACTAGGCTTAATTAAGTCATCACAATTAATACACATTTGAATGACCATCAGTTTATGAACTTGAAACGTTTTTGACAACGAAAACAAAATACTGAAGAATTTTACAATTTTTGAGATAGTATTGCAAATAAAATTACAAACTTTCGTCTTGTTCCTTCAATTTGCTTTGCAGTTCAATAAATGCATTATTTTACTCCAAAAAAGCATAAAAATTGACTTTTAGATATATTATCAAACTTGACTCAATAATCCATATTGAAATAGCAGTGTGTAGTCGCCACTGATCTATCAGATCAAAATCCTTTAATTTAATGCTCTGATTATTAAGGACTTATCAAAAGTATTACTAAGACTTTTTTAGATTATTACAAAATTATTTGTGTTTTGAGAAAATTTTATTAGAATTTTAATCAAATGATGTATAAAGTATTTATTATATAATTCGATCTGATTATTTTTTGCTTATTTATTTAGATTTATCTTGGATGAACTATTTTTAAAAACACACAATGATATTTGCTACAATTCTTATTACTTCTTGTTTTAATTTCTTGTTATAATTAAGAGAGTTAATGCTTTTAATTGAAATTAATAATAACTAAATATTTGTGAAGTCTTTTGTGGTGCATCTCTGCCAGAAGAGAATTAATTTTTTGCAATATTTTTTAATCTTTTTATTTTTGTATTAACAGATTAATTTGAAAACTTTAATTGTGCAAATTTAGGAAATTATTTATCTCACTGAACTTTTTAAAAGATTTTCAAGTTCTAACTGAGCAAAAATTTCTATTTTTGGCAAAGTAAAAGTCATATAATTTGATTTTTTCAGTCGCAATAAACGCAAAAAAGCATTTATTTTTTGTTTTTAAACATAAAATCAATGCTTATAAATAATTAAATTATTTTATGCAAATTGCTTACTTTATTTCATGAAAAGTTGATTGTATGGCATTTTGTCGAGCAAGCTTAATAGAACGTCTTTTGAGCAATCGTGACTTCGGAAATGGCTCAAGTAATTCTCGAAGTTGGAACGACATTGAATCATTTGAAAGAGTAAAATTTTGATCTAAAATCAGCTTTTATTTCCATAATTGCTACAATTAGCTCTTGCAAAGATTATTAATTGATTTAAAATTATTTAATATAATAAATGTATTTTTTACTAATTGCATAGCAACTCTGCATCAATGATAAGTAATATCTTTTGAAGTAGAAAAACGTAAGCAAAGTTAAAAATTTATTTCTATCTGATAATGCATATTATTTAGTTAGTATCAATATCAGATAATAAAGATAACAATTTCAGGATAATATTTTGGAAGTTTATAGAAAACTTCCTAATATTGAAGAACAAATATGGGGTAAATTAATTGTAATGGAACGAAATATTCGTCCCGTAAAGGCTTACTTAAAATCACGTATTATTATAGTTGACGGAAGCGAAGCGGAATTTGATGGTTCACGGTAAATTTTTCTACTTATCATTGACTAGACCAAAATATATAAGAAAGTATATTTTTTACTTACAAACTTACTCCTCAAAATCATTGAGTAGCAACATTCATTTTGCGCAATTTGAAAATATTAATGTTGCAATGTTCATCGTCATTCTAGCTTTCAACTTGTAAGTGTTTATAATTTGTCGGTGATGTAGTTTACAGTAACCTTTCTCGGAAAACATTGGTGCTTTTCTCGAAAAAATAATTCTTAAACAAATATTTTCCGTTTTTTTGTAAGTTATCGCAAAAAAATTCATTACTGATTTTATTTGAAGCAAAATAATAATCTGCAATTTATTTTCATGAATAAGTAGTAATAGCTATTATGAATCCCTGAATGCACAGAACAAGTAAACACCTTTGCAGAAATTTGTTATTTATATACTTTGAGTAACTAAAAAATTACAAATTCAATTTAAGATTAAATTTTCGCAATTTTTGCAGAATAGGTCTGCGACGATTCGCAAACGCTCATCGTGACGAAGGCACAAAAAGAGCTCTTGAAAGTTTTAGTAAAGTAAGTTAGGCACAAACTTTATTTCAAATACAACATTTCAATTAAAATATTAATGAAAGATTTTTGATATTCCCATGATTAATACTTTTATTTTTATAGATATACATATATGCATGAATTTCAATAATTATTTTATCGCATATTATTGAATTATAATTTATGCAACTGGAATTCACCTTTTCGTTTCTCAGATCTTAAAAACATTAATTAGTAAAGACTTGTAATAGTACGGACTGGCAATAATGATTCTAAATAATGATTCTCAAAGTAATTGGTTG